ATCCGTTGAGCAACATAGCCACCTACAGGACGCACACACTGTATCTGAAAGGCCACTCAGCTGCATCGTCTATAGAAAGAATTCATCATCTAGTTTTAGAATTGCTATTTATATTACCTAAGTAATTTTTTTGTGGAGAAAGAAAAAACAAAATCAAGTAGATTCAGGAATTCTGCTAGTGTTCATCAAGTAAATGAGTGAAAAGGTTTTCAGCAGGGCTATGTAGAAATACTGTGTCTGAGGAAGACGGGTGCTAGGAAGACAAATCTGATGGATTTTGGAAAAACATGGATTCAGGCCAGAATTTAAACAAATTTTATGCTGAGTGAGCCTCAATTCAGAATTTTTTCTTTTTCCTGGAGAGCAGTTGAGGTAGTAGGAGACTATTGTAATTGAAGTTCAAGGTAAGGTTAAACAGGTGCTTAAAAGCTTTCTGGAAATGTAAACTTCAGATTGAAGTTCAGCTTGCAAGTTGAAGATGTCTTGTTTTACTGTATAGTTCTGCATCTCCTGACTCAAATAGGAGAATGTTTCATTTGTATTTCCGTGTGTATGCATAAAGCTTCTACATGAAGACATATCAAGAGGTGAATTATGTAATTAAAACTATGAATTATGTAATTAAAACTACCCACATGTCATTTAAACAGATACCGATTTTGATGGTGATGTAGCAGTTGTTAATTCCAATAGAACATTGCATTTTGTTTTACTGCTATAATTGTTTTTATTTTTGATGGTGGTGGTTTTTATTTGCTTTGGTATTTTCAGCCCTGGCATTGCATAATTACTTGGTTGGTTTAACGCTGTTATAAGTTAATTCATATCTTCAAGGTGCCCCTTGTCAAGTCCAAACCTTTCCATCAAGCTCTGATTTAATAATGCCTAAAAGATTTTTACTGAGGCAGCACCAAATGCCCATTTCTCTCTCTACATTGATGTCGCTTGCCAATTCTTTAGAGCAAGCTGTTCAGCTCAACAGAATTTTTTTTTTTTGCTGGTGATCTTTGCAAGGTGGCGATTTCTCATGTGACCCTCTTTGTGTCCCTCTCGTTTTTTAATGCTAATGTGCTGTCTTTCTCGAGAATAGAACCCATTTAAATGCTCATAAGTAGCATATATATCTGTAGAGACCGCAATATAGAGATGAATATTCTTGATATTACCTTCTTTTGCTCGTCTCTCTTCTTTTTCCTTTTTCTTTTTTTCTTATTCTACAGTTCAACCTTGCCTTGCCCAAGTCTTAAGGTGTGTTATAGCTTTGTTTGGAGCAGTTTAGTGTTTGTGCAAGAAGTGTCTTTTCTACAGTAATGTTCTAAACCATGTGTCTGTGACAGCACGTTCACTATCTCTGTTTAACTATCCATCTTAAACTGGACCAGAAAAGACTTAACTAATTGGGGAAGTGAAAATACATTATAATTTCTGTCTTTATAGAAGATACTGCATAGGCCTGTTACACTGTCATCATTCAGACATTTGGAAACAAGTCCTTGAATATTGTTTTCACTTTTTAATGCATCTTGTGCACCAGAACTTCCTACAACACAGCTTAATTCAAAACAGTAAAGACAGATTTAATTAAACAGATCAACATGTTCTGTGGAATTATTTCTCCTTCTGTAACTGAATGGATGAGATGTCAGAAATAATTTAGTTATTGGAATATACCCACACAATAAGAGATCCTTCTTAGGAGGTACAGTGTATTGATTGCTAATCAATGCAGTCATTAGTCAATGCAACTGCAAACATTTGCATTTCCTTATATTTTCATGTCGATAAAAGACTACCAGATTCAACCTGATGGGCTGTGGTTTTTATTTTTCCAACAGGACTTTCTGATGGAAACATTCATTATGTTTAAGGATCTGATTGGTAAAAATGTCTATGCAACTGACTGGATGGTCATGAATATGATGCAGAGCAGGTATGTAGTTGCTGCTATTTTAAGTCTTGCTACTGCTTTGGAGCCTTTCTGAAAGGAGGGTTACTCACACAAGCAGGCTTACAAATCACTGGCATTACATAGGCTTATTTTCTTTTACAGTTTCAGGGTGATTTAAAGTAGGTTTCAGTAAATTGTAATGCCTGCACACTTCTGTTGACGGACTGGAAATCTTTCTTCTCCTGCCCAAAGGCACACAATCAAAACCATGCAGTCTTTCATCCAGTCGCTTATCTGCTGGAGTGTGCAACATAAATCAGGGAAGCCTTTTTGGTTTAAATTCTGCGGGAATCGCATGGCAAACATCAAACTACAGTTGGACATAAGTGTTGTCTAGGGTTTAGTGTGCTGGCCTGTAAACTAGAACTACTCAGGTTCACTTCTGTCTTCTGCTGTGGCCTTTGTTTGGCCTTGTGTGGGACAGTCTGTCCTGCTAAGTCTGTACTATTTGAATGGCTTTGGGTTGCTGTCTGCTGTGCTGGATAGCAAAACATGGCCAAAACCCGCTCTCCGCGACACAGCAGGACCTATACACCTGTGAGTCCCATGTTCCCACAGATGCTTTCAACAGAACTGGGAACAGAATGGAGAAACAAGCAGCATGTAACTCCTGTTTGCATGGCACAGTCATGCAAGTCATCTTCAAAATGGAGGAGGCGTAGGGGCACAGTGTGGAGAAGGACATGAAAATGGCAAGTTATTTGAGTGCTTCAGTGGTGAGGATAGGCTAAGCTTAAGAGAAACTACCATCTGGAATGACACTGCACTGTCAAAGAGATTGGATGACCCAAAAAGTGTTTTGTTTTTCATCTGCCTCCAGTCGGGGTTTCTTTTGCTCAGAAACAGAGGAATAACTTTCCCTGAATGTCCCTCTACTGGGAAAGAGGTGAAATAGCATTACAGAGGAATACCTGTCTTGCTTGGGAGTATCTGTTCTTGTCTCCTGAGCTTACATGTAGCAGTTGTAAACCCAGAACTGCAATGTTACTTTTTCAAGAGCCACCTTTCATTTGATGTTTTTATCTCTTCAGGGTTTTCCTCCGGGCGGTGAACCAATTTACTACTGTACTCAACCGTTTCTTTTTGGATCAAGCAAATTTTGAACTCCAGGTAATAGTTCCATTGTTTCTGAATTTTCTTACGGACCCCAGTCCTGAAAGGCAGGAAGAACAACCAAATCTCACTGTTAACCCATTTGTTGGTATGGAGCATGCCTGTGGAAAATGTCCATAGTCTTTTATAGCAAAGCAGTTCTGAATTCCAGAACTGTGGTTCGTGCGGCAGTAAATTGCAAGCAAATGCAACTGCTGCAGGCTTTACAAGGTCAAGTTGAGCAGCATGCTGACTATAGCTTATTTGTGCTTGACTAGTTGAGAATAAGGTACTATATGGGTATACCTACTGTCACTTCTTTTAGTTGTGAAGTACTAGCTAAAAAGAGTGAGAAATTTTACGTTGCTGTATAGTCCTGGCTTGCCTGCTGTGGCTGAGAACACAGACTCTTTTACCAGCTCACTGTTGATACTCTTCGTCATTAACGTTTACTTGGGAGACTACAGCATTTGGGGCTATGTAGCTTTTGTTGTTGCTCTTCCTTTGTCTTCTCCTATTTTAGACTTGTTTCTCTTCCACAGCTCTGGAATAACTATTTCCATTTGGCAGTAGCCTTTCTCACTCATGAATCCCTCCAGCTGGAGACCTTCTCACAAGCCAAACGCAACAAAATTATCAAGAAGTGAGTTTACATTTTAAAAGTTGCCAGGCCAGGCCTTTCTGCTTTTAAGAAGCTTCATTTGTACTGTTCGAGACATACCCCATGCAATCGTAGAATGAGATGAAGCATGCCATGGAAGTGCTTGATTAATGAATGATGATAAAGGGAGGAGGAGTGACTAGGACAGATGTCAGGTCTTTACACTGTGGCTCTCTAAGTCTGGTCAGACGATCCTGAGTTGCTTGAGCTGAACTTAAGCGCCTTGCCAAAAGATTCTTTCCACTGTAAGGTCTGTAATAGAAGGCTTGCCTTAGTTCCCAAAGCAATGCCTTATACAATTCCTTAGCCATTATGTAAGGTAGGTAAGCAAGAATCCTAAAAGCCCTGCAACTTTCTAGTCCCCTCTCTTTGCTTTTTCTGTTTTGAAAGCGAGAGCACTTCAGAGGCATCCATCAACCCAAAAGTAGTAATTTTTAGTAACTCGGCCAAATTCACAAAGAGACTGAGCAACTTTTACTTCTGCATTTAGCTGGAATCAAGTGCCTAAATATTTTTGTAGATCATGACATAGAATTTTGTTAGGGCATACATAGTTAATGTTTGCCATCTTTTTTCTGCAATAATGCCAGCTTTAAGACGACTAGTAATTAAATATTCGTGCATTCTCTCGTGTCAGCAGTTAAAGCTTTAGGGGAAAAACACCAAATACAACAAAACTCTGTCTAGAATTGCATGAAGGAGTAGGGCTGCAGCTTTATTCTGCTCTCAGGGAGTCTGCAGTCATCTGTCATAATGGCACATGGCCATTCTCCTCCTCTGTGCATTGAGCATTAGTGCTGGGCAGGGTAAGGAAGAAGAAAAGATAAGGTGAACATCTAACAAAAGGTATGTAATATTGAGGAAGACACTTAGTAGGGTATATAGTCTGAGACACCCCTTGGTATAAATGCTCAGCATATTCAGGTTTGTGTGTGGCGTTTTTTTTAAGGAGAGGGCAATAGATTTTGTGGGTTTGTGATTAAATTTCTTCATCAACCTTGCCAATTCAAAGGTAATTTCAATGCGTAGGCCTTTTTCATCTTTTTCCTTCTAATACTTTTTTCTAGGTATGGGGACATGAGGAAAGAAATTGGCTTCAAAATAAGGGATATGTGGTATAACCTGGGTGAGTTCCAGCTAAAGAATTGTCTTTATTCAAGCTCTCAAGCTGGGGTTTCAAATCTTTTATTTCTTTATAAAAGCTGCTCATCTTCAATGTGGGGAAATACACTTAAGGTTCAGCTGTTTCAGAGCACAAAATCTCTTTTCCTTTTTCTGTGAATAGCTTGCAAAAGCTGATCTTTTCTCATGTCAGCTGCTGAGATAATTTCTTAGATTCCGTATAAAGGGTGTTCTGCCATAGGAAGGACAAGAGTAGAATTTTTCAGACAGCCTTTGTGATTTGCAGCATTGCATGCAATTCAGTTCAATTATTTTCCTGGCTTGTTCCTGAATTTCGGAGCTCTAACATGTTAATTCTACCTTCAGTAGCCATTATCTGCATTAAAAATATGCATTTGAAGCAGAATGTCTGTGTTTTATGGTTTTTACTTTATATGAATAATGTGCTTAAACATTTGAGTATCCAAATCCTGCCATTAGGATGTACCTGACTTTGACTTTCTTGCAGGTCCCCACAAAATAAAATTCATTCCAGCAATGGTAGGCCCAATCCTGGAGGTAACCCTGGTCCCAGAGCCTGAGCTACGGAAAGCTACCATTCCCATCTTCTTTGATATGATGCAGTGCGAGTTTAACTTCAGCGGGAACAGAAACTTCCATATGGTAAGGGAGCCTGGTATCTTCAGTACAGATGTTCCACAGTATGCATTGGGCAAGGAGGAGAAGAGAACTTGTAAACAACACAAAAAAACCTCACACCACCCCCTGCCCAGAACAAACATTGTGCCAAACACTTTGGGAAGTTATTGTTAAGTGGTTTGTGGGAGTCAGGACTTGTCAGTTCTGTCCCTGACTGTAACTTTGCATGACTTTGATAGTGAATTCCTCTGTTTTCATACCTTTCTGCATTTGCAGATGTGTGAATACCCACATCTAAATTGTGAAACAGTTTGGAGACCCTAAGAGAGTACCCTAAAAAGTAATGTCTGTTTACATTTATAATATAAATTCCCCCAAGACAGATCTTTGGCTGTAAATGTAAGTTACTATAAGGAAAACTGCCGGACAGTCAAGTGTTGGGACTACGTAGTTGCTTACATATGGACTAATCCCTCGCTAACTTCAAATTTGACAACAAATTTGTGAATACTGCTGCCACCGTTAAAGAAAGGAGAACAGTGATACAAAGGACAGACGTGATTTACATGAGGCTACACAGGTAAAAGGGCAAAGCCGGGAACAGGACCCAGATTCCTGAGTTCCAACCCTGTGCTAATTTCTACAGAAGTTACCTTTTATTGCTGCTGAGAAAGCACCAGAAAGAAAGGAAGGAAAAAGAGGAACTTCAGTTTTGCCCTGAGGTTAAGTTTTCACTGCAGTTTCTAAGGACTTATTCTTCCAGCTTGCCGCTGGGGATATCAGACATGAACATCTCAACTGGCAGGCAGGGGACACTGTAGTTACGCTGTAGACAGTCTTCTCCCTGGAGATGGGTAGGAGCCGTCCATCCAAAAGGCAGCCACCTTGGCATTTCAGACTGTTGTCAAATGTGATGTGCATCTCCCTAAGCACCGTTCTCACACCAGCTTAGACCCCAGCTTCAGTGTGCATATGGGATCTTTCTTCCCTTGGGGTCATCAGTCTTTGCTGTGGTTGCCCCAGGGTCTCGGGGCTTTTTGGAATCGGTAGAAGGAAGCAGGATGCGTGTGGCATGGATTTTCCATTCCAATGGTATTTATATACTAGCTACGCTTATAACTGAGACTATATACCTGACCTGCTTGCACATAGCAGGGCATATCTTCGTGGCTAGACAGATAATCACACAGGACTTGGTTCCTGCATCATGAGAGGTTGCTTTAATTAGTAGTCACAAATGTTTATGATGGCCAAAGAGTTGTGACCTGCCCTTAAGTGATCGTAGTAATTCGGTTTCTTTAGGGTGAGTGAATGACCATTCTGTAAGCTGGCTGGTAGAATGTGTCTTGATCCTAGCAAAACTGAACTGCTAATGGATGGGGGAGAAGGGGAAGAATTGCCTCAGATCATGACTTTCCAGTGACTGTAGGATGAAAGAGGGAGGACTTGTACTTCCTTGCTCATTTTGGCTTCTTACCATTTTTATTCTACTCCAACAACAAAAGTGTCCTCTAGCTTGGCTTGTAAAACCAGTGCCTGATGGTGGGGCAGTTCAGAAACGCCAGCCACAAGCATTACTGATGTTCATACCACACTCTCGAGAGTTACTGTCTATTTGATTGTGGGTTTTTGCCTTTTCAGTTTGAAAATGAGTTGATAACCAAGCTGGACCAGGAAGTGGAGGGTGGCCGAGGGGATGAACAGTACAAGATTTTGCTGGAGAAACTGTAAGTTTTATAAAGAACATAGAGGCTCTTTTTTACCACTTAGTTGGCTATTTTTCTAATGCAAAGAAGCCCTAATTCACTACTCCAGTGAATAGGAAGACAGTGCATTTGATAGTGATCTTAATGCCGGACAGGTATTCTGAGACCGAGTGCCTTAAAATGATGCTTTTGTTCTGGAGCAGCAACTTGCACAACTACCCTACACCTGGAGATGAAGCCTAGAGGCAGGTGCCAAACTGACAACGGGGCTGTAAGTGGAAACGCTTGAGAGCAGCAGGCTCGGAGAAAACGCAAAATCAGAGCTGCCTTTTAGCACCAAGAGTAGAACCGAGGTTTTTGATCAACAAGGCATGCTTTGACCTGCCTGACTTGGGTATCTCAGGTGTGTGGGTACGGTGTGCTGTTCGGAAGCATATTTGACTCTGTTAGCCGAGTGGCTGTTTGGGTAATTTACACTGAAGTTCTACTTACCACCGCTCAGAACCATAACTGAGTAATCCCTTCTTTGCTTCTGGGTGTATTTGCAGCCTCCTGGAGCACTGTCGGAAGCATAAATATCTGTCTGCTTCTGGAGAGGTGTTTGCTTTGCTGGTCAGCAGCCTGCTAGAGAACCTGCTGGACTACAGGACAATCATGCACGATGAAAGCAAGGAGAACCGCATGAGCTGCACTGTCAATGTGCTGGTATGGGGAAGGCTGGGTTTGGATATGGGTGCTTCTTTACTGACCTGGCTTTTGTGGATTCTCAAGGAATTTCTTTTTTTTGAGGGGGATTTTAAATAATTCTTTATGCCATTTTTGGTTAATGATGGGCCCAAATCAGGCTACCAGCTACTGACAGCTATAAAACATAGAAAGATGTACAGTCCATAATCAAGTCACATGGCTCGTCCTTGTCTATGTGGTATTCTGAAGCCTTGAAGTACAGACAGGAAAGGTGGCTAGCTGGTAGTTTGGGCAGTGTGGGCTTGAGGCCCTGTTCCACTGCAAAGAGCCAGAATAACTTCAGACAAGTCACTTTCCGTCCTTGACATAGCCCTTTTCTAGAGGTGATAGTGACCCCACCTTATGGTAAAGGGATGGTTGCAGGGATATATGCACCTAAGTAGGCAAAGTGACAGCAAAGATCTTTGAAATATCTAAAACTGATGCTTAAGTTACTTGTCTAGAGATTATTAGGCAAGTCCATGGTGCTTTACATCATCAAAGCTTTACTTTTTTTTTTCTTGGCAGAATTTTTATAAGGAGAAGAAACGAGAGGACATTTATATCAGGTAGGCTGTTTCCCTCCATAAACCTTTATAGAAGCCTTTATTTCTCTTGGTGTTCCCTAC